TATCGTACCCTTCCCAGCAATTCGTTCCTCATGACGAGTCTTAGGAATGCCTATTGATTCAGCTTGGGACATGTATTCAGAACAAAACTCAATTGCTTCCTCTGCAATATACCTTTCTACAATGGATGCTTCTGGACGATGTTGGTTCTTCACATACCCTTTTAATATCTTCATGTATCGCTCAATTGGGTACATCCATCTCAAAAAGACAGGACCACACAACCTAACCTCTCTGACCAAGTGGATGATTAAGTGAACCATAATGTCAAAAAATGAAGGAGGAAAATACCTCTCCAATTGACACAATATTAGAATAGCTTCATTTTCCAACTCATCTAACATTTAGCTGATTTGAAAAGCTAATTTTAATATGTTTTAACTATGTTTTTTAATCCCTCAAATTTAATATAAATTTGATTTTGATGCCTCAAATTTTAAAATATTACTTTTAGTTCTTGTAATTTTTAAAAATCTTATTTTAGTCCTTATATTTTTATTTTGTTAAAAAATTTATTAAATATTATTGTATAAAATTTACCTATTGATGTTCCTGTTAGTGAAAATATTGCATTAAATACAGTTAATATTATATAACTGTCTTAATTTGTCAGTTTTAAATATGTTATTAGTTATTTAAAAGAATAAAATAAGATTTTTAAAGATTATAGAACTAAACACAACAGTTTTAAATTTGAGGGACAATAACAAATTTGTCTTAAATTTGATAGACTAAAAATATATTTAAGCCTCTTAATTTTTTTTTATGAAAATTGAATTCGAAATTAAATGTGTGCATATTTAGAAGAGAGGAAGCGAAAAATAATAAAAGAAATATGTTTTTTTATTTCTATAAAATGAGTTTGTTTTTATTTTGATTTTATAAATTATTTATTTATTTATTTATTTTTAAATTTGTAAGCATTGTTTAATGTGTATAGTCTTTGTAAAATATTTTTGATTTTATAAAATGAGTAAATTTTGATTTTAGTCCATATAAAATATTTTAAAATCAGTATATTTTTTATCTCTAACGATGATTTTAAGGTAGATAAATAATATTCATATTAAGGACTTATAAAAAAAAATTAAAGGTGTCTCACACGAACAAAATGTCAATAATAATTATAGGCAACACTCAAGATGATTACTTAATTTTTAAATAAATAAATAAGTAGTAAAATAATGATCACATAATATCATGGATGAAAACAAAAATTGCATGGACTAAAAGCAAAACTCATTCATTTTATAAAGATTAAAAACATATTTAAGTCATGAAAAAATGTGTGTACAAGCAGTAAAAAAAATAACAAAAAGAAATGTGTGTGAGACGAGACAAAATTACTTAGTACTCTCTAATATGAATGAACTTTACCAATATTTTTAAAACTTAATGATCATTGAACCAACCTAAACACTAGTTCAATATTTAATGATTTAATCGTAATTGAACCGTCATCAAATCAATATTAATAAAATAAAATGTTATTAATAAGTTCTTAATATTTAATGTATACATAAAATTCTAAACTAAATACAATATAATATTTAAATTTAAATTTTATAAAATATAACAATGTCCATTAACACCTCAAAAAAAAAAAAAACAATGTCCAATAACAATAACAAGTTTACATATAGAATACAACATATCAAATTAATATAATACAAATTAACATAAACGATTAAATTATATTTAAAAATAAAGATATTAAAATATTTTAAATTAAATTTTTAAAATTTAAAAATAATTTTGAATTGAATCAATTTGATCGGTCATGGATCAGTTCTACAGGTTTTCCACCATTTCAAAATGTTTTTCTATAAATTTTTCTATAAATTTATCACTAATTGAACTATAAATTTATAGACTGATTGGTAACCATGAATTTTTCTATAAATTTTACCACAAAACTATTTGGTTCCAAAATTGGCATGTAATAAACATCCATGATCAAGAATGAGAATAGATAGGTTTAAATAGGGTACTATATAGTACCTGTTTCTTAGTTAGCATGTTTTGCAACAAATTACCAAAGTGGGATGGTTAGTGCTAAACCTTATCTTTATCATGCCATGAAGATCTTTTTTTCTTTTAATATTACTAATTTTGACTTATTAATGACAAATGACATTGTCGTAGAAAACACAAGTCTCGTTTGTATATAAAGTAAAATTCCGAATAGCACCTACATTTTTTCATAGGTACATCATGTAGGCGTAGACATGTTGAAATTGAAAGTGACATTTTCATTTTCCTTTAAATTTAATTTAAAATACTTTTACCATAATGGGAGGTCCATGATCAGCACGTAATGAAAATGTAAGTGCTATTTGCATTTTTCATATGTAATTCTTTTAAATTTTAACAGTTTTACACTGATTGGATGTCTCTAACTATCATCTACATTTTCTATTATGATGTGACAATGTTGACAATCTCCCATGGGAATTGTTTCAAATAAAAAATTAAATGTTATCCACCTATGTATATTACTAAAACTGATTTGTGTATTTCACATTTCGCGCAACTCAAGCTTAATTATACTTTAATTTGTTTCTTTTATTGTATTACACATGAATTTTCTACTTATTCTTTTTATATTATGATGTAAAAATTACAAGATGCCAATAGAATTAAATTTAAATGTATGCTTCAAAATAAGTAAGGACAGATGAAACCATTACATTGGAGGACTTGAAGAAAAAAAAGTCCTTCCTAATGTTGGATGTAGAACTTTCCAAGTTGTAGAAGAAATTCATTATTGACATCATGTATATCTAAGGTATAATTGTGTTGATTGTGAGACATAAGTGTTTCTCTCTTTTGTGTCAACTGACATCTTCAACTAATTTTAGAAACAAAACCATTACAAGATTGAGGGACCCATGATAAACTAGTTCTAGCTTAATTTAGACCAACAAGAAACTAAAGAAACATGTTTTTCGATCTCAAAGGTATAGAACTGTGCTTGTGTTCATCAAAATCTACAAGTC